TGTTGTGCTTGACTGTGGTTTAAATGGGGTGTTGGCAGCTACCAAGCAACAGCCTTACCATGCCCTCCTTGCAACTTAAAGCCAGAAAAAGATGAGGCTTCCAAACAATTTTCACTAAGGCATAAGCTCTGAAGACATATTTACTGCCTCCAAGAATTACAATGTCACGAGTTTATCAGCCTCGGGCCTTCGGCCATTCCATCAAAGTTTCAAACGAAATCGACCAGATAAAAAACTGTAGACACATTTACTCACATTGTTAAACTTACTGCCAAGGTGCCAAACACAGGTATTTCGAAGTACCCGATTCGATGCAAAAAAAATTTGGCTATCCAAAATAAAAGTTCCAGACGTAAGTTCCGTTCAATTCATTACTAAATTCATTGTTAGTCGAATGGAAAAGTTACGTTGAAATTATTTGAGTGCGCGCGGCTAGCTCAAGCTAGTTCTTCACAATCCACAGACCAGAGACTATGAGGTCGGAACTCCGAACAAGTGCTCGAATGGCGGCATGAGCATGAGACTTCCACCTAATTAGATCAATACGAGCAACTAAACAAGACTTCAACACGCTTGTCCGTCGGGGACTACGAAGCTTTATTGATTCAATACCAATTTCCCAATAAATTTAAAAAATTACAGAAAATAATACATGACCTGTCGAGTTCAGTGCAACAACTTTGAAATTTCCTGTGATAGTAGCAGAAAAGCACAGCAGTTGACACACTTGTCGAAAATTTACGCCTTTACGGCCTTAAAATTACTGTTGTTTATCCATTATTCGTTTACCTAATTTCTTTATTACAGGCCGGCTTAAAAATAATCCACAGCTTTGCCTGCGACACTGCCTAGCAAGAAGCGCCTACCTGCATGATTCAAGTTTCAAACCAATGCTAAAAATTCACAGGGGAGATCAAATATTCGTTGTAAATCCATTGGAGTACACTTTGACCTTGTCGTTCGTGGTTTATTTTTGAAGCTATAGTCAAGAATTGACATTAACACAGTTACAAATTATTCGCTTTGGCCAACAACTATGCTATCGCTTGTATATTTGTTAACTTCTTTGCTCTCATTGAGCGGGACTGCGAGAAAAACCAGCCATGTGGTGAGAAACATTCGGAGCTACCTACACCGCACCACCCACCGTCACGTCACCAGACATACTAACTTGAAAAAGAACGAAGCAAGAACGTTGTCATCAGCGAGCCATGAAGCGAAGTGCCGTCTGGCTGGCATTCGCAATGTAAGCTCGTTTCAATTTCTTTTTTATTATTTATTAATTTCACAGGCATATTTTATGACTGTGGCAAAACTTTTCTTACAAATTAAATGGATCGCAAAATCTGTTTTATAATATAATCTTAGAATAAGTTATGTGTGTAAACGGTAGCGAAATTTCAGCTTCACCAAAAGCTGCTCCACTCAGGGGCGGGAATCCAACTGTCCAACATGCTGGTGGTTATCCTTGGAATTGCGTCACCTCTAAAAATTATTTGTCGTTATTTTAGACGTCGCAATGATTTTTCCTACTTTTTTTCTTGGTCTTCACAGAAAGAAGTGATTATTAGTCATGAGAGAGTTTGGAGCACAATATTTGATAACATTAATTATTGCGTTCGAGAATTTTTCACATACGAGACATTATGGGACGTCTACTACTGAGGGGCCGTATTATCAAAACTTCGTAACTTTTCGTACTTCCGACAAAAAAATTACGTGTTACGTAAGTATACCCTAATTTTGGCATTATCAAAACATTCGTACGTAAGACTTAGCTAAAAGCGTACTATCAAAACCATCTGGCCAACTGACCAATCAGAGGCTTGGGATTTGTTTACATTCTGTGAACTTCGATGGCGGGAATCGATGCCTTCGATGGTATCGACTATCGAATGCTGTCTGTCGGTATTGAGTCGGTATTGCTCCTTGTTGGCACAGAAAAAGCCGTTCTAAAATAGTTGTGAACTCTTTTTAATTAACAGCGTGAGTTGAAGAAGAAATCTGTGTACGGAGCTAAAAATTATGGTTGGCAAAGATATAAAGTACCGACTAGAAGGAATGAATGAATTGAATTTTTGAAAATGAATGACAAAATTTTTGAAAATTTTTGAAAAAATGAATTGAATTTTTTTCCAATAGCCCTGTTTAGCACGATCACATATTTTGATCGTGCAAATGTTGCACGATCAAGTAGTGGAGCCATCACAAGTAGAGCCATCATTCTATGCGTTTATAATCCGCGCTGTCGGATTATTGAATAAATTCTATCACAAGTCAAGGTGTTGCTACTTGCTAGTAAATTAATAGTTTCCTATTGCTTCAGCAGACACTCTAAACTTGTGCGGAACTCCACTTACGACATCTCCGAGCAGGCGTACAGTTACGTTACTTATCTTCCCGCGCAAATGTTTTGATAATACCACCTCTAGAGCTACGTCATCAAGTCAGCACTTACGCCTCTCGTAAGTCGATTTTGCGTACTTATGAAGTTTTGATAATACGGCCCCTGGAATGAAATGATTTTCCGCGTCTGAAATTGCGGATTCAAAATGTGTGCTTTTGCAGGCGTCTGAAACGTAGTTTCTGGATCGACATTAGATACAAAACTTGAGTTTTTCTCTATTTCGACAATTGATCAATAACAATTCATTAGTAAACTGGCCGAGAGATCATCAATGCATTTTTGTTTAGCAATAGACCTCTTGATAATAGTTTCTCTCTCTGCCAACTACGTTACTGCTCTGTGAACTCGCCTGCGAACTTAACGCATAATGCAACTTTTGAGCAACAGAACCATGCAATCAAAAGTCTTTCACCAATCAACGCCTCTGGTATGAAAAGGTTAACATTATTGAAAACAGTTTGTAAAATCAACAATAATAATTCGAAAATCAAAGCTCAGATTTATTAAGAAATATCAATACAAATAAAAAAACTTTAGTTGAATTCAGCTTCTAAAGACTAGAATAAATTATAACTTGGATACCTTCTACGTATTCTGGAACTAATAACCTGGAATATCGACATGATAAACAACATTGCTTGTATATATGTACATTCGATGCAGAATTTACATTCGAATTATACTATACCTACCGGGTCCTACCCACATTTTTAACTCCATAACTTCATCGGATTCATGCTGGAATGACCCTAAATAACATTTGTCATCATAATGAAATCATTTACATTTTTTCCAGTTATATGCTCGCAAACTGTAAAGTTATACTAATAAAAGAAAATGACATTCAGGGCACTATTCTCAGTATATTTCTAGGTAATATATATTTAAAAAAATTTTATAACACAGAATTATACCATTAACAGTTTAACATGAAAACGTCAGCATAGAATATCATTTTCAGGTCTATTATAATGCGCAAATGTCTCAGCTTACTGTGTTGCTTCAACTAAAAGTTTTTTTTTTAATTCTCGTTTTGTATTAAAACGCCAGAACCCATGAAAATAGATCATTGGGTTTACCAAATAAAATATGCAAGAGAGCAAGCTGGATTGTATAAATGTTGATTCGCATTAAATTGGTGTAATGAGGAGAACAATTTGATGAAATGTTAGTTAATAGTCATAGAAAATGAGAGATACATAGTATTATTTACATCATTATTTCATGTTAAAAAATATTACTCTTTAATGCTAATGGTGCAATAACGAACGCAATCTTCAAAGCCATGAATATGATTCTCTAATAGTTATAACTTAATTGTTCGTTATTATCATCCAAGTAATTGATTGTAAGCCAACTCCTGTATCCTATAAATATGATTTTTCGGTTTTATTAGCGCCGCTAAAGGTGCTTACACACGGAGAAAGTATTAGCCAATAGTATTAGTGCAAGTATACTCCTCTTCTAGTTTTGCCTACTACAAGTTTATACACGGGGAAAGTATTAACTAAGCAGTATTTTCTCCTCATCCGCGAGCGCTAGTGCGTTTTTAAAAGCCGGCGATTGGAGTTTGCAGTCGGTAGAAAAATTTGGTGCGTGGCAGCAATGGCGAATTTAAGAAGGCTTTTAGGTGAAGCATTTTGTGAAATTGTTGCGAATCCAGCTGAGAAGGTGAAAAACTCCGTCAATCAACGTTTTAGTGAAAGACTGGGTAGGACGGAGAGATATCATGAATCATCATCGACTTGGTTTTGTGAATTCGCGTAGCGGCACAAATACACATATTTCTGCTGCTCCAGCCCAACTGCTGTCGCTTTCCGGCGCAAAATAAAAATATTTTTTTTAATGCAAGCGCTCGCTGCCTTCTACTGTCCTTTGACGCAGAAATTAACCCGATATTCGAAGTGGAAAGCACTATATTCGAAGGGAAAAGTACTTGACGCTAAGACTATCGGCTAACACTTTCCTCGTGTATATCTTAGGAGAGCAAACTTGTAAATTTCGACAGTATTCATAAGCACTTTTCTGACTATTCGTAACCTGAAGAAGCAGTTAACATATTTGCTGAATATTTAATATGATGCTAAACTTTCGTACATATTATTTGTTTGTACAAATACAGTCATGTATTTACAATAATAGGTACTGTAAAGTCACTAAGAACTTAGTACACACAAAAAAAGAAGAAAAAAAAACCTTAATGAAGCTCTAAAAATAACATTGGAAGTTTGTAAATGCTACTGTATAGCTCCAAAGCATTATGATCCTCAAAGAAATTCTACCCCTATTTACGAATGCCTCAACTCAAACGTTTGATAAAAATATTTACAAGGTTTTCGTTACTCGTATATAATGATTTCCTTTCAGATCTAAATATATAATTATTGGCAAGTAGTCAAAGTTATATTTTTAATTTGTTTAAGGGGTCTTAGGTTTACAATGTTTTCTTTGAGATTAGTTAATTTAATTTATCGAATCAATTTGCAACTTTGTCTTTAATCGATGCAATTGAAATTCTTTACATACTGCACTTAGATTAAAACAATGTTTTAATCGGTGTGAAATGAGATCCTAATTGATGAAAATTGTTCTGTTCGAATTTTTGTGACAGTCTACGTATTTTTTTTTTCAGCGATAAATATTGCCACAATCTCGCTATTTGTTATTTATTTTCAACATAATCAGTGTCTCACTGATATCGAAATGATTCAGATTAATGATAGAAGTATAATTAGAATCTAATGATAGTGAATAAATTCTATTTACAATGAAAATATGTACACTTATAGGTTGATTTTCACAGTATAAATTATTCTGTCTCTTTACGTGCATGAAAACTATTCATGTTTTCAAGGAGATAAACAATAATTGAAAACACTCAATGTCTAGAAAACCGGTTTTAAGGTCATAAAGGTTTGTCACTTTTAGTTTCTGTACAAGAAAACCAGACATCATTCATCATTTTGTTGAATACGAATCAAGCAAAATAAACATGAACTTTTGTACAAAAATGCTGAAAAATATTTCAGTGATGCAGACTCTCAATCGTTCATCTGGGGAAACATTCTCAAAAAAATTGACGGTGATATTAATATCCGCGATGATCATTCATCAATAATCACGAATTCAGAAATTCACAAGCATGGGCTAAAATTCATTGGCCCTGGAGATATGTATACGACTTCGGAGCTCTTTTCGAGAGTATCACCCCAGAATTCGTTGAGATTATCGTCCCAACGCCAATCTTTAGGCAAAATGGCTCATTATAATTCTGCGGAAAACATCAATTTTGTACAAAATCTCCATGTTTATTTGTAACCATCAATTCCTCAATCGCTGCCGCACCCATTGTCGGTAGGTCAGAGCATTAAGAAGATCTAAATTCAAATCTGGATCTTCGCGAGTGGGCGTGGTTTCGATTTTAACGGTCGTTGTGGTGGTGGTGGTTGTGGTGGTGGCGATTGGAGTTTCGGTTGTGGTGGTCACGTTTCCAATCTCGTCTTCTTGTATAAGAGGACGTTTCGTGGGATGAGATCTACATTTACCTTCGGGGTAAGAAGCCTGTTCAGGGTAACTTTGGGGCTTCACACACACAAGGCCATCGCCACATTTCCCCCTCATATTCCACAGACCTCCGCACACATCGCCTTCACCCTGAAACATAAATTTTTCATTAACCCTAAGGTAACCAATCAACTTCGACAAAAATTGCAGAAACTAAAAATGACTTCAAATAAAAGTCCCGCTGAACAGAAACATGCAGTTTGTCACGTCTTTGTCTACACAGTATATTCATCTATCAGAACGGATGGTTATTAGAACAGATATTATGATATATGATCATGTTTAGACATGGTCAATGGTCAACCAACAGGAGCCAAATGTCTTGCAACACATAACATAATGAGGTCTAACTTGCAAGACCTAACGGTCCAATCACCAAATAACTGACTACATTACAACACACTACCCAACCCTGTAAGTCACTACCTCAAAATTCACTGTACCCCCCAAATGTCACTATAGGTGCCTGTACACAGGGATAGTACTAGCCGCTAGTTCATCCGGCGCTTGAACTGTCCACGCTACTAGCCTCGTGTATAGGGGTTCAGCCGCTTCAGAGGCATGCGCCGGCAAGTGCCTGAGACGCGGCCGAGAAAGACAACGATGTGTTGATATCTTGGCTGGAGAAGTGGCTAGTAGCGCTGATGCAGCCATGGTGAGAGCATCTGTGCCGCTCTTGTGAAGTATCTTGGGTCAAGTGAATCATGGCTTGTTTGAACGATAATGTTTCTAAGAGGAATCCAACAAAATGGATTCCAGACGATATTCAATTATTCTTTGAAATATGAATCAGAGTGGAATGTTTGCCATGACGGTTACTCTAACAAAATGAAGAGAGAAACGAGTATTTTGAAACTGGAAGAAGACCATATTAGTCAGGGTTAAGTTGTTCCCGACGTTGCATTTTTAAAGGTTAGAATAAAGAGTATAAAAACGACGTACAGACTCGCGTTGTTGAAGGTGATCCCACTATCCATCTTCGCAGACCTCACTCGACGGCTTCTAACGACGCACTGGCGGGCGCGAACGAGAAGATAGCGGCACCTTCTACTCTCCTCGTGTGTACAGGCTTACTAGCCGGATAGTAACCAAGCGACCGACACTATCCAGATTTACTAGCCGTCTGCACTATCCCTGTGTACAAGCACCTTATCGCCCAACTCAATACCCTCAGCAGTACCTCGCAAAACATGACTCCCAATCAGTGCCTCCCAACTCATACCGCACCCCCTTCAGTACCTCGCAACTCGTAGCACACTCCCAATCAGTGCCTCCCAACTCATAGCACACCCCCTTCAGTACCTCGCAACTCGTAGGACACTCCCAATAAGTGCCTCCCAACTCATAGCACATCCCCTTCAGTACCTCGCAACTCGTAGGACACTCCCAATCAGTGCCTCCCAACTCATAGCCCACCCCCTTCAGTACCTTGCCGCACACCATGCAGCACTCGCACACGTCTGACACGAGCCCGTTGATGCAGACTGGCGGGTCCGGGGGGCAGCGGTCCTTCCCCCCGCACGGCACGCAGCGCAGGGACCCCACGCTGCCCGGCACACAATATCGTCAAAGGTGGATTGTGTTTATATCCTCAATGGTGGATTGTGTTCACTAGAAGAGAACCACATGTGGATAAGAAAATTCAGCGCAGTTACGTTCTACATCAAACGTTTCTATCAATGGTGACTAGCTGATTAACTACAAGTAATTAAGACTAGTAAATTCACTGCGAGGGAACAGGTTTGAATAAGGTAGAGAAACTTCTGTTAATGCGGCGCAGAGGTCCAATGCTCGCTCGCTGTCCCCGATATGAGAGTATTAATGGATTAACGATAACTTAGAAGGAAACAGCTCTTGAAGACGATACTACAACGATCTGTTGATTTGAGCCTCCTTGCACCATACAATAAACGGGAACAACTTTGGTGAAGAAACGCGAAACCGAACGCTGCACACAGATCCTACAGATATGAGACTATTTTGAGACTAACCGAGATATTGCTATGAATTCCTTCTACACATTTCTACACATTGGAATTGGATTTGGGGCGTGGTGACTCTGAGAGAAAGAATTTCAGGGTCAGGCCTTTGCAACGGCCATCAGCCACGCATTGTTAGTAAGAAGAAGGAAGGGAGGTAAGGGGGGGTCCTCTCAACGTACACACGGAAGGAGTCATATAAGGAGAAAAATGTGCGGATCCACAAGTTACATTATTAACTTACATAGCGCGTTGGTGGTATGCAGAGGACAAGAAAGAAAGAATTCAACAATGAAATTGTCAGCCATGCAGGAAAAAACGTACAAATTAACATATGAAGAAAAAGAGCAATACAGTTCACATTTTTTACAAATACGAATAAAACAAAATACGTTAATTAGACTGTAAGTGTAAAAGTATCTCAATTACAAGTGTGTATCAGACCTCGTTCTTATAACTCACCAGTGAATATATATGCTGAGCAGAAGAACGAGTAAGGCTTTGAAGGACATTTTATTCCCAATTTCCTATACTTGTTCCAAAAAGAAGCAAATTTACCTGGATGCTGTGGAGGTATACAAAAGAAAAATATAACAGACGAATTTCAATCTAAATCTAGTAGAAGCCCTGTCGTTGCAACACTTTTGCAATGAAACCATTATAAAATTATCTTTATTTATCGCTTTATGTTTACTCGTTAATTCCGCCCAACCCCAAAATTCGGGGTTGGGCGGATGGGCTTTACTCGTTGATATTAACAACCAACGGATGATGCGAGAGCATTTCAAGTTCGAACCAACGATTTTTGACTGAAATAGGCTATAGTCAATCAACTTTAATACAGCGGCGCGACCATCGCTAGTTGTGTTCGAGCGAAATCTCAGGCCATCAACGTGGCAATTAGACTGGCGACCGATCACCAAAGATATAAGAATTATTAAAGAAATAACGATGATCGTAGCCGCTATAGAAATACCAAGAAATTAAATCAAATAAATAAATAACTCAAAGAAATCGTCACTGTTCCTTATCTATCAAAGAAAAAACTATATAAGGCGCGGTTATACGAGTATCACATGTCGTAGATGAGGCGCCTTTACGACAATTTCGATTACGGTTGTTGTAGTTGTTTGTCGCGCCAACGCTCATGAGAACAAAAATTAATGCTCGCACGGGTACGGCTTAGGTAGGGGAAGGAGTAGAACCACCGGAAGATGGGGAGGTGGAGGCGAAGGTAGGCAGGATGGCCAAAAGGGCCGCCGCTTAACAGGAGTGTCTGCCCCACAGTGAAGAGATGCTGAGGGTTGTGAGAAATGAAGGACAGGCGAAGAGATGATGCGCGGACTGGAAATTGATCTACACTTAGGGCAGGCAGTGCTAGGAGTTCTTCAGGCCCTGAAGGTGAAGGATGTCAAGGAACTGCAGTGGCCCGAACGGAGCTGGGCCAGCGCTGAACGGTGACGGCATTGTAGCCCGGCTTCTTCTGAAGCGACGGGAGGCGGTAAGGCAGCCATAACCCTGTTGATCCCAGCGGCTTCGGAGACGTGGGCCCACATCTCAGCTTTGGCAGCTCCTAGGAGACAGTATTCATGGAACCTCCCTTAGGAGGATGGACTCCAGGTAACCGAATTTGATCCGGAGGGAAGTTTCTGTTTCTGAGAGGAGCAGAGACGATGACAAAAGAGGGGTGAATGGCCCGAGGGCACTGGCCTGGAACTGCGTACATGTGAGGTCTGGATGAGCAGACAAGGAAAGAACACCTGTGTTGACGTGGAGGTTTTCGACAGAGGTCATTCTGAGGCATCCGGTAGCCATCGTCATGGCTGTGCTCTGGTCGGTAGTAAACTTGCCACGGCGGTGCTGGAGGCAACGGTGCTCCTGTTAAGTGGCTACTGTGCACCGGCTGACGCCGCAGCGTTGCAGGACCGAATGTCTGTATGCCTGCATGGACGCTGTCTCCAGCTCATTGACGGCTCAAGCTCAATGCATCAAAAACCGACTTTATTTGGTTTGCGACTACTCGGCGCCAGCATCAGCTTTCGGCCAACTCTGTTCGCGTGGACAACGATTTCGTCATGCCTACGTTCGCAGTTCACAACCTGGGCATTCTGCTGGACTCGGAACTTTCAATGAACAATCACATTGCCAAAGTCACCACCGCTTGCATTGGCGCTTTGTGACGAATACGTAGCATCAGCCGCTGTCTTTCGAGGCCGGTCTTTGAGGCCCTCGTGGTGGCGCTCGTTCTGACCAGATTGGACTATGGTAATGCAACACTTTATGGACTTCCGACCACGGCAATTAATTAACTGTAATCCTTTATGAACACTGCTGCTCGACTCATGTACAATAAGCGAAAATTTGACCATGTGACGCCGATATTGCGCGATCTTCACTAGCTGCGCATTCTGCAGCGCACGTAGTTCAAGGTCGCCGTTCTGACGTTCCGATGCCTTCACGGGTTGGCGCCTCCTTATCTCATGGAAGGTCTGCAGCGCGTGTCGGATTAGCCTTCTAGAAGACGATTGCGCTCGTCACCAACAGTTGACCTCATCGTACCATCTACTCGTCTATCTACCGTCGGCGACAGAGCGTTCCCGGTCACCGCCGACAGAACCTGGAACAGTCTGCCGGCTTCCTTAACTACGACTCCTTCGTTGCAGGTGTTTCGTCGACGCCAAAAGACGGAACTATTTCATAGAGCCGATGAATCTAGTGCTTGGTCATTTTGTCCGTTCCCATCCTTTCTTGTATCTTTTTTCACTTGCTATTAATCTTAAGTGTGACGTGCTCTCGAAGTTCGTTTGAACCAGATGCCACGATAAATGCTTCTTAGAATAATAATAATAACGGGGGACCTGATGGTTGCTGCATAGTTTATTATTTGGTGTATGATGGTTCTCACCACGATGGCCTCCGTCAGGCATTACCTCGCCCCGCGGTGGGTGAATGCCTGCCCGCCATATCCCTCCCCCCCTTGACCCTATTGACCACAGGCTGAGGCTGACGTGAAGGTCACCGTGTCCCGTATTGTTGGAGCGATACGTGCCATCCTCACGAACAACAAATGCCTCGCGTTAAAAATATAATTATATCTGCATAGTTAATACAAATTAAATTTTAGACGAAGAGATATGAAATAATTCGAGTAAATTATATGTGAGATATCTCGGTACACGGCATTGGAACGGTTGGTGAAGTTCATTCAAACGTTGGTGCCTAATTCATTTCGCTAAAAAATACTACTTATGAGAATCATTCAGATATTTAAGATGAATAAGACATTAAAAATTAATACGGTATTAAAAATAAAAAAAAAACTTATATTTTGGCATGACATGAATATGACAAACTGATGCCAGTAATGCATTCATTTTTGCGTGTTTATGAGTGCAAAATATAACGATAATTACAGCCAGTAATCAATGCATATGCGTTATTTGAAGTTGATGTGTGCTTGATGAAGAACATCCTGTGCCTCCAATCCATTAAATATCTATAATGCCACTTTAATTTCATGCATTAGGACAGGCTAGCAATATTTGTAAACTGGTCATGATTCTTAAGCGCCGAAAATTTTATATCTTTAGAGATTGATAACATTTATGTGTACAAACAATCGATAATAAATGCGATTTTATTTGCATGACCGTTCAATTTGCATATCAAAACCGTGATTAAAAGACTCGCGTTAACTATAAAAAAAACGTTGTACTTCGAAAGCGCAAAGTTAACTCATAAGTTACACCTATAAAACAGCGACATGGTTGCAAAATAAGATAAAATTCAACATCCTGTTCTATTTGTCATGAATATATATTATTTATATGTTCAACTCAGGATTATATAGGAATATATACACCAGTATTCATGTTATCCTATTCAAGTCGGGTATATGGAATATAAACATGAACAAAAAAATCGTAGATGAAGCCGTTGATAAAAAATAACATGACATGTGAATCAGAGCGCATAAGCAGAAAATTTTCAAAATGTAACTCAACCACATGCATAAAAGTTTGAAATTAAATTGGTTATCAATAGGATCCTAGAATATTCCATATCATCAGTAGATGGTTTATCAAAAATTTATCGGTTTTATTATCAGCACAGCTACGAGTTTGTGGCCAAATCACACTATATATGCTAATGCATTAATTTATGTAAGTTCAGTTTATGTAATGAGGCCTAGGATTTTTCATTGATAGTTGCAACTTTGTTACTATGGCACGATTCTCACTTGTGAGCAAATGTAAAAATTTGAAAAATGCCAGATGAAAATGGGCGAATAACACAGTCCAGGTTATTTTAATCTAACACTGCGCTGAAAAAATGTCGAAAAAAGATGCACCTAAAGAGAATTTTCTGGTCACCGAGGAGATTGTTAGACACAGTTAATTTGAGGAAAATGGTCTACTACGTCGAGAGCACAGCAATGCCCAGGCTCTTCGAACATACCAAGATTAAATACTTTCTAAATTCCCTATGCTGCTCACGCTTTAATTATAATTTTTTAATATAAGATCCGATTATAAAAGGAGGCAATTTTCCTATGGGAAGGAATAACAGCACAAACAAAAGAAAGACGCTCCACTGACTCGAGTCAGTAAGGCACTGGCTGCCGTTGAGCGGATGTGGTGTGTTGCAGCGTCGTCAATGCAGTCCCGTGTTGAGGGAAGTCCTACATCAAGTGCCGTCAGATTTCTATTGGCCGGTCTGCTGTGCCAACCGCCCCTCATCCCTTCCTCTCTTTGCCTTTTGTAGTATCAAGTTTGGTACGGTCTGCTGTGACAACCGCCCCTCATCCCTTCCTGAGGATGTTTACGCTCCCCGTCACTAGCGGTGCATTGAGAAAAATTGACAAGATCTCGTAGGAATATAAACAATTATTGCACTTGAATAAGATGAACTTCAAAAACCTATTTATTAAATAATATTTAGGCATGACTTCACCCCGTCGCCTTCACTGAATTTAGAGGCTGCTAATTCTTTGCCCTACCAGCATTTGTTTGTAAAAGCAAACCTTATTCCAAGCTTCATCTCTGCATTTATGATAGCATGTTTTTCGAGGCTTTACAGCCGCAATAATATTTTAGAAAATGATTTGGTCGGAATTCATTATTAATGTGATTCAACTATATATGCATTTGGCTATGGCATGGTAACACGTGCAACAGCTCTACATTAGTCAGTAAGTCGATGCTGTCAAAAGTCAATCAATTAGGAAAGATAGCAGCTGCTGATGCGGAACCTGGAATGCAGTTCAGTTGAAAATTCTCTCACATGAATAATGTCGAAGATTATTGTTACTTTTTTTTTATTGGAGGCAAGGCAAGTTGATTTAAGGACTGCTTTCCATTTTACTCCAGTTAATTAGTGCTAATCGCATCCCCACCATACTATTTCAAATCAGACTACGCGGGAAATTTTGTTTACATTCATTTGGGAGCGCAGCCGTTCACCACCAATTTTGTGCACCAATAAGCCCTGAATCGAACGCCTTGGATCTCTACGGACATCCACCAATCAGCCGTGAACCACTAGGCGGCTTTGTCCTCCTCCGGCCTTGCATAAAACCTGCCGTGCACCACCAGGCCGCGGATCGAACATGACTTCCGGGCATCGTTAAATT